CTATCTCCATATCATTTTGGGGTTTTAAGGTAAAGTGTGCGATGATGAATGTTTACTTTCGTGCTTCTGATTTCACAGTAAAAGATTAAAGTTATTCCTGGTTTTGTATTTGTGTTTGGTTCTTGGTTTTATCCTCAGTGGATGAAATAGATTCATTTGTGCTGCTCCTACTTTTCTCTTTTCTTTTCTCCTTTGCTTGTTCTTCTTTCTTCCACATTTACATTTAATAACTTTTATTCTAAATTCACCTACATCACCCTGAACCTGACCCACCAGATGGTTTTGTAGTTTGGAAACAGTTTGGAAACACGTGGCAGGTGATTGGATGAACCATCTGTCAATCAAACTCTTGCCGAAGCAAATATGGTGAAGAGCCAAAACAGTTCTGATATAACTGATGCAAGCCGCCATTGTTGTTTTGAACAAACAGTGGCCTCTCTCGCAAACACCTAAGCCCCGCCCCTCTCTTCTACTCTTCTTCTTCTGTTTACCACTTCCTTCTTATTTTACTTCTCCTCTTCCGTCTCATCGTGGTTCTCTCCTCTCTCCTCATCCTCCTTTTTCTTTTCCTAATCCCCTCCTCTCCTCGTCGTTATCCTCCTGCTATCACCTCCTATTCTCACCGCTATTCTTTGCTTAAACTTCCCCTCATCTCCTTCCTCTTTTATTGACTCCTCTTCCTCCCTCCTCACCCATCATTTCTCCCTCTCCTCGTCTTCATCTATTTTCTTCCCGCTCCTGTATTTCCTTCCCTGTGTGTGTCCTCTCTTGAGCTTTGACGCATCAGGAAGTTGACACACACACACACACACACACAGAGACACACACACACACACACACACACACAGAGACACACACACACACACACACACACATACATGCACTCGGGGAGTATGGAAGCTTGTTCATATCAGCTCCAACATCAGTCATCTGTCAGCACAACTTTTATCTGTTCATCTCTGTCTGTCTCTCTCTCTCTGCCTGTCTGTCACTGTGTCTCTCGTCCTCATTCGTCCTTCTCTCTCTCTCTCACTTTCACACACACACACACACACACACACACACACCACACACACACACACCACACACACACATTCAAGGAGCAGCGGCAGCTCGTCTTTATCTTCTTATCGTTCCTCTCTGGTAGAGCATGCTGAATAAATCAACTGCAGAAAAACCAGAGATGGAGATGAGGAGATAGAGGGATGGAGGAGGCGGAGAGGGGCATGATGGGATATGATATGACAAATATACACAGCGTATATCACTATTCTCACCAGCAGAGGGAATCGAAACAATGGAACAGCAAAGAAGAAAGGATGAAGGTGGGGAGCAAAGAAAGACGGAAAGAAATCTGAATGCAAAGTGACAACAGCCTGCTCGCAGCCTGTTCTGGCCTTCAACTTAAAAACCTCAAGTGTGTGTTTGTGTGTGTGTGTGTGTGTGTGTGTGTGTGTGTGTGTGTGTGCGTGCGTGCGTGTGTGTGTGTGTGCGTGTGTGTGTGTTTCAAACTCACTAACTTTGCCCCGAGCTAGACTTATAAGTGAGTAATTTCTATTTTATGTTGTGCTTTCTGTCTTCATATTGCATTTAATTTCCATCAGCTATCAAGTGTTGATGTTGATGATGTGTTGATGATAGAAAATGCCGCTGACAGTGCAGTTATGGAAGAACAAAACAAAGTAAACAAGGAAAGAAAGAAATGACAGCGTAATGGAAGACAAAGGAGAAACAGAACAATGGAATTAAACTGAATGAATACAAATATGACAGAACAGACTATGGAGAGAAACTCAGCCAGATGTGTCTGCAGGAACCACTGCTGTGATGTTTGATTCAATTAACACGAAACACAATTGCCTGATCGCTGTTTTAGCTCCGTTAACTCTGTTAGCTGTTAGCTTTCTTAGCAGTATTAGCACCATTAGCTGTTAGCTCTGTTAGCTGTATTAGCCCTGTTGGCTGTTAGCTCTGTTAGCTAAACACAGTGCTGTTTGCTGCTGCTAACAGCTAACTAGTTCACCTTCTACCTACATGAGAAGACGCTCATTTGTAGACGGCGCTCGGTCCAGTTTGTCATTTGCTTAGTGATTGACATTCGTACACACACACACATACATACGTATACACACATGCATACATACATACAATTGTCTTATCTTGGCATGCAAATCAAGACAGGAAGAATTCATAATCTGTAATGTAAACAAAAGTCCAATCTGAAGCAGTTGTTGATAACTTGCGGTTGAGGATCGTGACAAATGCTCAATGACGGTATTAAAAGGCCAATAATTATGTTTAAAAAAGTCTGAAGCTGCAGCTGCAGCCAAGAGAGGTCCTTAAGAATACAAGAAGTCATAAAAGTGCACAAAATTAATATTAGACTGATCGGTCCAGCTGTGTGTGAGATTATCTGTGGACAGACACAGAGATGCACAGGAACTCATGAATGCACACACACACAACTGAATATATGATCTCCTGGCAGAGATAATAAAGAAAGAAAGAAAGACAAAAGGATTAGGAAAGAGAAGATGGATGGACAGAAAGAAAGAAAGAAAAGAAGATGGACAAAAACAAAAAGGATGTCAGGAAAAACAAAGAAAAGGAAGATCAGCTGCCTGACAAACTGAGTAAATGCCCTTGAGCAAGACACCGAACCCTCTTCTTGCATGTACATATTACAGCAGCAAGACAATTCTATTTTTTTCATATTCTGTAATCTGCTTTGCCGATATTGTTTCCCCACTTAATCATCGCGCCTCTAAACAAAAAAAAAAAAGAAAATCAAATTGCGAGTTAATGAGGTGCTGATTGTATTATTTCACAGCCGGGTGCTCGAGTCCACTGACTGATCCTGCCTGCCGACCTGTTAATACAACAAATTAGGAATTGAGCCTGTGTTCTAACCCCACAGCAAATCACGGCAGGTGGTTCAATGGTTGGCTCAGGGACACTTTGACGGGACGCGCTGGTATTTTTGTTGGAGCTGAAGTGACCGAATGAAGGGTAGACGGCACAAAAACATCTGCTAGAGTGCATTATGAGTGTGTTGGGGAAAATGATGCAGAATTATTAGACATAACCCAACAACAGAATAAAAGAACAGGTGAAGGATTTTGGTTGGACAGACAAACTGAATTGGCAAAACTTCATAGAGATTCTGGCATTTTATCAAACATTTAGTTCTGAGTTCACTCTGAGCTACATGAGCTAAAATTGAAAACTACAAAGTGGGGCAGCAACTGTAGACTAAGAATAAGAGGTGGACGTAGTCATCCTGACGTCACCCGTTGGTTTGTAGACTGACGTTTTGAAGCCTTGAGTTTGGCGCCATGTTGTTTTATTTATTAGAATGTGAAGGAGGGAAGAAGAGAGCTGTATACATCTCTGATAGTGGCAGCAACCTGTCAATCACCATGTAGCCCCGCCCTAAAGCATCCCCTGCTTTATGGTCTGTGTGACTCTAAATGGACCATAATGTACTAAATGAACATCATGCTGTATTGAAGAAGACTTGAAACTAGAGATTGAGACCATAAACTCATGTTTACAATGTTTACTGAGGTAATAAATCAAGAGAGAAGTAGAGTCATTTTCTCATAGACTTCTATACAACCAGAGGAGTCGCCCCCTGGTGGACACTAGAGAGAATGCAGCTTTAACACACTTGTTTTGTGTTTTGTTTGTCATTGTTGAATGACGCCTCATAGTATATCATATTAACTCATGTTGTGCAAATAGACTCTACATTCTACATACTTTCTAAGCGTATAAGGAAAAGAGAAATAATCCATCAAATGTTTCTTCTTTCAATATTTTTAATTGAATGGTCCAAACCCTCAATGCCTTCAATAAACAAATAATGAAACATATGGATGTAGATATTAGAGAACCACACTCTGTTAAACTGGCTAATGGTGCAGTCTGTGTACACACACACACACACACACACACACACACACACACACACACACTTGTGAAAGGTGAGGTTTTTAGAAATGAAGGCCAGAACAGAGCAAGCAGACTGTTTCTGTTTGAAAATGTCACCAATCCATCAATCTGATAGGTAAAGGCCACTTCTCTCATTATACTGTTTGTGTGTGTGCGTGTGTGTGTGTGTGTGTGTGTGTGTGTGTGTGTGTGTGTGTGTGTGTGTATGTGTGTGTGTGTATGTGTGTGTGTGTGCGCCTTCCTCTGCACTTTCAGAAGAAAAGGCTGCTGACCAAGCGAAGGCAGCACACACACACACACACACACACACACACACACACACACACACTGTTATGTGATGTATTTTAATGAGCCTGCTGGTTATCTGTAATTCAACAGGACTTGTCTGATCACTTGTTGACACACAATACAAATCCTCACGGATCATTTAACACGTTGGACACACACACGTCAGACCTGTTCAGAAATTGCATCATTTGCCAGATTTAGTTTCCTTGTTAATAAAAACTGCTTTCAGTTTAATTTGATGACCTGTTTTACAGTACTAAGAAAGCTCAGGAACTGGGTTTCTGAGCTTTCTTGCGTTAAAGTTGTGTCTATATGTTTCAACAATAACACCGAGGCTCCGTAGTCCGAACCCAGACGGCAAACTCTATTACTCCTTTCAACCTTGGCAAAGGCAGCGCTGAGGATTTTGGGTCAGGATTAGGCCTCTTACCGGGGGACAGGTGGTGGAGCGGTTACCTCCACCGATGATTGGTGTAAGGTGCAGCGCAGCATGGTTCCTTGACAAAAAAAACAACATTCAATAGTTTCACACACGTCTTATTTTTTTTCTCAGTGAAGACTATCAGAGTCAGAGGTGAAGGGTTTAGAAATGTTGAGTCACGGTCGCACTCTGGTAGCATGATGGAATTGTGACTCACTTTTGTGGTGACTGTACCTTAAAATAGGACACGCCTCTCAATGGCTCAATGGATCTGATGTACGTTCAATAATCCTCTCTCTCTCTCTCTCTCTCTCTCTCTCTCTCTCTCTCTCTGTAGGTGCACCACTCTTCATTACGACTCAGATCTTCCCCCAACCTCCATCATCGTCACCTTCCACAACGAGGCTAGATCCACTCTGCTGCGCACCATCAGGAGGTAACACACACACACACACACACACACACACACACACACACACACATATTTACAATTTTGTGTTTGCATTTGAAACTTTTTTTGTGAAATGTTTGTTTTTTTTTGTCATTTTTAACACCTAAAGAGGTGTTTGGTGTAATTTGGAAATTGTTCATTGTGACATTGAATCCTGGCAGACTGTCAGCTACAGAATCAGCATGTTTATCCTTAAACTAAATATCTTGAGTATCAGCCTTCAGAGACCCGAGCTTGTTGGCTGGTGAGCAGAGAACCAGTGAGCTGCCAAACGTTACATAGAGAAGCCTTCACACACATTTACTCTGCTGACCCTCCGTCTCTGGACCTTCGCTCTGTCTTTCAGTTTGATGATATCAGCAGGTTGTTGCTCACACACACACACACACACAACAAACAGAGATACACACACACACACACACCTCCAGGTTTTGGCCTGGGTTCAGCTCATTATTCCAGTCAGTCAGCAGGGACCGGCCACGTCTCCTCACTATCACAGAGGACACTGTGTGTATTGTGAGCAAGTGTGTGTGTGTGTGTTTGTGTTTTCTGTGTTTGTGTGTGTGTGTGTGTGTGTGTGTGTGTGTGTGTGTTTGTCCTCTCCAGCTCTTCTCAAAGCTCTGCAGTTTTCAACCAATTAAAAGACAATCTGTCTCCCTGGGCCCCTCTGCTCCCTTTGGCTCTGGCTCTCTGTACGTGTGTGTTAGTGTGTGTGTGTGTGTGTGTGTGTGTGTGTGTGTGTGTGTTAGTGTGTGTGTCTGTGTGTGTCTTTGCCGGTGGCGACTTGGAGCTGGAAGAAGTTTTTAGCTGCCTTTTATTTTTAGTTGGTGAATTTGTCACATTTGCTCTCAGCAGGATCCTCTGAAGCTTTATTTGACATGGAAACCTTTCAAGATCAACAAATCTGATATTTAAAAGATATTTATGGCAGCGATAGGCCATATATATATATACAGTATGATACTTTTGCTGGATTATATATCGTCCCAGTAATAAACACTAGTATTTTCATTTTAAGACCATTTTTTTAAATTATTATTAGATATATTTTTATTGGACAATTGCACATGTACAATTTCACAAATTGTTCATAAGAAACAGCAAAATACATACATTCAAACTAATGTGCTGTACCAGGGAGGCAACCACAGAGGATTAAATAATTAATATGAAGAAAGGGAAACATGTCAGATGGTGTAATTACATTCATATATCACAGGCAATGCATGACATTACTGTTTTGCCTTTTTGTTGGTACAGCATTTACGTTTTTAAATAGAGTTCAACTTTGTTAAAAAACACAAATATTGTTCTGTTTCACAAGACTCATCTATGAAATAACACAGCGCAGAAAAGCTTTACACATATTAAATCTTCATCTACTAAAGATATATTTAGGACTAATTATTGGCCTTGTTTTGCCATTTCATGCTTGACGCTAAGGAACCAGTTCACACAGAGTGTCGTCCTGCAGAAAGTCAAACCGTCTTCAGCTGTTGTGAAGCTAATTGGAGCAGCTTTCAGCTTTTGACATTTTGTATTCGATCTCGATATTTTACTTCTCCGAGCTGCTTTTTCCTTCTTTCCTTTAGTGGAGCAGCAGCAGGTTCAGAGTATTGCTTCACCAGATGTCTTCACAGGCAGACTTCATGATACTTTTTCCATCTCTTAATTGCAATACTTAACATATAATATTGTTAAGAATATCACGATAAATAGACTGTTGTCATAGATGCTGCTGGTATTCCTTTGAGCAAGGCATTTGACTTGCACGTTCACCAGCAGCAGAGGCCGTTGGTGAACGTGAACGTGTGAAACCTTTGATAATGTGAAGTGAAGAATGCCGAGCTTCCTTCATCACTCTTTTGAGGGCGAATGCTTCAAAAATATCAATCTGCTTATTCTCCAATCCTCATTGGATCACGGCCAAAAACGTCACAAAAGATATTCAGTGTTATAAAAAACTTTTTTCTAAAAGGCTTTGAATCATATTTAGTCAAAGACAGCAAAAAAAAATCTAATTTCGAGCAGAAAAAAGCAAATGAAGAGCCAGATAATAGCTAGATACGTTTTCTTACTATCTGCGATCATGCTTGGCTCCGGGGACTCTGAAAACACTGAGAGCGTATTGCACAATTACAGTATAACAGGCTGTGATTTTAGAGTTTTGTGTGCTTTGGGGGCTCCGAGAAATGCGCGCCGCACCTAATAAGTTTGATTCCTCAGCTTTGAAAGCTCGTCATCTCGTGATCACAGAGTTGTTTTGTGAGGGGGGTGGGGGGGCGGGCCTCGTCGATATTTAATCAGCCTCTGATCCCACAATTGATCTCATCTTCTCCGCTGGGCGAGAGATAAGCAGGCGGAGAGGGAGAGAGAGAGAGAGAGA